ACCTCTCTCTGTGGGGAAGATGTAATGAGTGTGTGAGAGAGAGAAAGGAGTTTTCAAAAGTCAAAATTTATTCGTATCCAAAATTGATGTGATGTCCAAAGGTCTCTTTGGGATGTTTAAAAGGGTGGCATGAGGTTCCATTAAGTTGTACTTAACTGTTAAAAATGAAAAAAAAAAAAAGAAAATCTTCAGACCTCTGGGTCAAAGTAGGTCGGTTCGAGGTGAGCCACCCCCTTCCCTCACTTCTGCTCCAGGTTGCCAAAAGGGGGAGAGCAGATGGGGGTTGAGAGACGTGTCTTTATCACTCAGCCATTAATTTTCTATTGGGCCTTCTAAACATCCTGCGCCTGCAGATGCAGATTTCACTTTGCACAAAAAGGACTGATCAGTTTATGATTAAAAACAGCAAAGCATGCTACAGACACTGCCCCCTGCTTACAAGAGCATGTGGGCCTGATGGTACTGAATGAAATTCTAAATTTCAGTTGGCCTTTCTAAAATTATACAATCTGGTTCTCAGTGTAGGTTACTTCCCTGAAATCTAGAATCATTGACTAATAACACTGATCTTTAAAAATGGACATAAATTCGACCCTAATAATTACTGAGGCATCTGAGTAAACAGTAATCTGTTCAGACTGATGTCGCATACAGATCACATTTAAAAGATAATGTGAACAGCCAAACAAAAAAAAAATCGGATTTGGTGAGAAAATCAGATTTGGGCCACTTTTACTTGCTGTGTTTAACGTAGCCTAAGTCATGAAGCTGATGTCAGTTTCTCATTCGGTGGCTTCTTGTTTGAATTTTCCCGTTCCACCTTAAATACTAGTACATTAGCACTTACTGAGACATACTTACAGCCAAGATGGTAAAACGGACATAAAATGTTGTGGCTCCCAAGGTGGTTTCATTTTTGTTGAAAGGACAGAACGGCTTTTCTTAACATTTTGGTTGCAACCCCTGAGCCAAGCTTACTAGTAAGGTGTTATAAACGGGTGACCGTCTGCTCAAACTGTCCGCGGCTCAGTCGGGATTGCACAGTCGCCACCAGCCCAGTTAACGGCCACGTTCCATGGTTCAGATTTTTTGCCTGAATCCTGTAGTGAAATTTTAGTGAAAATTATTACTATAGCAACACAAAACTTTGTAGACGCTACAGCTATTAGCTACATTTCATAAAACTGTAGCGGTTACAGCTGTTAGCTACAAGTTTTAAAGTAGTGCACTACTTAGCTACTCCCCCCATCCCTGCATATATGTGAATGTGTAATTGTGTGTGTGTGTGTCTGTGTGTGTGTGTGTATTTGTATGTGTGTGTATGTGTGTCTGAATGCATATGTAAATGTTAACACAAACAGACATCATCTGAAATGTAATTTCTTCATATTAGCAGTTGGAGCATACAGGACCTGATCTCATTAAAATGACTTTATACACAGTATTACAGACACTGATTTTTCTCTTACTTTAAACATGGTCTATCACAGATTTATTTACACAGTGTTCTAGTAATTACAGAGAACTAACCACCCCATCCACGTCCAAAATGGACATTGTTTTACATACATTCCACCTTCTAACTCCCACACTACCAGAAAGAATGCTTTCAAGAGGGGTCACGTGGGCTCTTGACAGAGATGGCAGCATAGAAAGTTTCTCCCTGAAAATAAAATCAACACTAATTATCCCTGTATTTTCTTAAATAAAACACAATGGTCAAAATTTCAATGTCTACTCGAGAAATCTGAAAGCCTCAGTGCCTCAAAGATACGCCACCAACACAGCCGGCTAAAGCTAGCAAGAAAATGGACACCTTTGTTAACAGGCCACTTTAAGATACAAAAGCCGTGTCAGGTGCGGTTGCTAGTGAGCCCACACTGGCTTTTCTTGCATCAGAGATTAGAGCAATTTGTGTATGCACACAAAACATTGAGCTGGACACAAAAGAAATTAAGGCTACAGCGGAGGATATTGAGGGGAAAATTAGCACGCTGAGCTCCTGTATAGATGAGGCTGAAGAATGGGCTGCGGCGCTGGAGAGCACTGCTCATAAATCCAAACAACAAATTGAAGCTATCCAAGAAGAAATGCAGAAACTGATGGACCATATCAATGACTTGGATAACAGAGAGCGACATTGTAATGTCAACATTTTGGATATGCCAGAGTTGAAAGAGGCAAACGATATGATTTAGTTTCTGCAACGGGAGATTCCAGCTATGCTGGAGCACCAGTTTCCGAGCCTGGAGATACAGTGAGCTCATTGTGCTCCCACCGGTCCACCAAGATGAGAACAGGGGGAGGGGAACCGCCTGAGGCTTGTTATGGTCAGCCTGTTACACTATCAACTGAAAGAGCAGATACTCCAAGTGGCCAGAGAGAAAGGACAGATTCTATGGCATATTTTTCCCATACTACTCCAAACAAGTAATGGATTGAAGAGTCTCATTCAAACAGATCAAGAGCGATTTGAGGAGTAAGGGTGTGGAATACACACTCTGTTTTCCTGCCACTCTGGACATCAAACACAACGAAGCATGTCACTGATTCACTTTGCGCACGGAAGCAGTGGAGTTCATCGGGAAGAAGATCACCTGACTTAATTACAATTTATAAAGTAAATGAAGCCTGTTACCTTTTTTATTTTACTTTTGGTTTTCACTTATTGTAGGTAGCAGAATGTTAGATCTTTCTCAAACAAATCAGGTTGTCACAATAGCCCTCAACCAATACAGGCTGACAAAGATTATACTTAATTGCTTTCCCACTTAATACAGCAGATAGGGGTTCGATGGACATAAGAGGTTGGGCAGATGGAAAGTCGAGTTTGGGTGATCACCCCAGGTTTTTCAGCTGCAGTGAGCTTATGTTTTGGTTGGTGCTTTTATGTGCCAGTCCTTGGAATGTGACTGGACTTGTATATAGTTTGTTCTTTCCTGTTTCAGGTTTTTGTATTTGACTTGTTTACCATCACACTGAATCACTTTGCTGATATTTGTAGTACATTTCAAATCACCTCGAGAAATTACCAAATATTCATAGATTGTGTAATCTATGAATATTTGGTAATTTCTCGAGGTGATTTGAAATTAAACTCTGTGAGGAAACTAATAGTAAGCAGGATAGCACTCTTGCTACTTGGTGGGACACCCTAAAAGCGTATTGGAGAGGGATAATTGTTTCCTATGCTTCTTTCAAGAAATTAGCTAATGAGAAATCAAACTTAGAAAAACTTGAAATTTCTTACTCTCAAACCAAAGACAGGTCTACACTGAATAAAATAATAGCTATTAAATATCAATTAAACAAATTCTATTATAAGAGAGCAGATAATGCTTTATTTCGAACCAAACAGACATACTGGGAAATGGGTAAAAAACCCGGTTGACTCCTGGCCTACCACTTATGACAAGAAAACAGTGTGAATTTTATAGCTGGAGTACGACAGACAGATGGGAACACTTCTACCTCCTCTAAGCAAACAAATGACAAATTTAGATCATTCTATAATACTCTTTACATATCACAGGGTGACTTGGACAAGCAAAAGATGGACAACTTTTTACCAACCTTAGTCTCCCACAACTCTCTGAACATGCTAGAAACTTTCTAGAAGCACCACTGAAACTAGAGGAGATTACCCAAGCAATTAAAAGCATGCTGCTTAATAAATCCCCTGGGCTGGATGGATTTCCTGTTGATTTGTACAGAGCATTTGAAGATGTCATAGGCCCTTTATTGCTTGAGGTGTGTAATGATGCATGTAAGGTCGGCACATTACCACAATCCATGCATATTGCAATTATCTCCTTCATACACAAGAGAGGAAAGGATGCTTTAGATCCTAGTGGTTATCAGTCTATTTCTATTGATTTTAACCCACTATGTAATTCTTTTCACCTAAGCACTGTTTAGAAATTGTATTTTTTGTAACCATGGCATAGAATACTTTTAGATATAATAATTTGTAAGCTCAATAATTACTTGTAATAGTTATTATCGAAACAGTAATGTTTTATGTGTGAAATTGCACACTCAGAATCTCTAAAGTATTGTGTGATGAAACTCGAGCAGCCCAGCAGACAAAGAAATTCCATATTCTTTATTTTAAATTAGGCACAAAAACATTTTCCCTGCCTTAGCTCCACGTTAACTCCGACTCTCAAACTTCTTTCCTTAAAACCAGCAAACAGGAAGTTTTAGTCAGTCAGTCGAGGAGAGAGAGACAGACAATATACAGTATAACCACAAACAAACCACAAGAACAAACCCTCACCTCTATTTTTGTGGTTTAAATATGTAGATCTTAAATTTTAGTTTAATTTTTTATCGTGTCTCTGTTTTGTCTTTGTTCAGTTTCCTTTGTAGAGGGGTGACCGGTACGGTACTCAGCCCAGGTGGGTATTTAGAAAGTGAAAAAGTGTAAAAACACACAAGGATGAGAAAACAGAGCACTGTTCTATGTCAATGGACTGAAAAGAGAAAGAGGAAAGAAGGAAAAAGAAAACATTGTTTTGATTTAAGACAAGGAAAAAAGACGACAAAAAAAGAGAGAAAAGAAAAGGCTATAATATAGGCAACTCCTCATCTCTACCTTGAGAGGTATTTTGGTTTGGTCATATATTATATACATTTTTTTAAGGCCCATCCTGATGGGTTTTCCTCTCTGCACTCCCAGACTGTCCCATGACATTAAGTGTAAATATATAATACAGTTTCTGTAATGGACACAGACAGCAATATTCATACTGAACTTACTGATAGTGTTCAGTTAGTAGCATTCTAGAAGAGTAATAGTAATCTATGAGGGTGACAGCAGTCTAGGTGAGTGAGAGCAGTCTAGGAGTGTGAGCAACAGTCCTCAACATTAGAGCCTACATTAACTAGGATCAATGTGCTGGAGTGTTCTGTCAGATCATGCTTTAGTGATTCCACACACACACACACACACACACACACACACACACAAATCCATCTCTCAACACAGTTTCACACACCTGAGAGTGCTAAGTGAGCAGTGTGGATCCTCTCGTCTAGCAGAGAGCAGCTTTACTCCTGACTCTCCTGGGTGATTGTAGGTCAGATCCAGGTCTTTCAGATGTGAGGGGTTTGAACTCAGAGCTGAAGCCAGAGAAGAACAGCCTTTTGCTGTGATCATACAACCAGATAATCTGCAAAGAGATAAAAAGGAGACTGAGAAGTTTCACTTTATATTATGGTGCAACACATACCTAGTATTTAAAAGGGAACATGTAGTACTAATTTTCTGGTACATACATGGCACATATGTACATAGTACATGCCAGGTATGCACAGCAGTACTTACACAGACTTTAATGGTAAATATGTGGTCTTTACAAGTAATACCTGGTGCATACTTTGCTAATATGTACGTACAGAGTAACTAATGTGACAAATACAAAGTATATTTCAGATTTAATGCTAAGATGTTGCATGGTAATGGCAAGGACTACCAAACTGTTTCAGGAAATACAAGCCTATATGATAGAGAAGAGTAGGTTATGGGTATCACACGGTACCCACCACAAAGTACTCAGTATCTCTTTTTCCTGTACAGTCATTAATTCCATATTAAATGGTATGTTTACTGGTACATTTGGAATGTGCTATAGCGATGGCATATACAGGATCAGATGTGTAAAAACCCAGAAGATGAGGGCTGGAGTACTGGATTGAACTGTACCAGATTATTCTCAGAATTTCATCAATAACTCCCAATCCAGTACTCCAGTCCACTTCTTTCAGGTTTTCTTGCCTCTTGTTGCTTCATGCGGGACTGTTTGAGATGCGCTCACTGGCCAATTAGATATTGCAACTGGACTTGTTAATCAATATTTGTTTCTCCGCTGTGCTTTTTGCGTTTGCCTTTTTCGATTCTTCAGTGTTCAGTATATATTTTACATATTAGCAAGTCTGTCCTTCTGAGTGTGACTGTAGCTGGGTGTGGGGGGGGGGTGGCTGTGTGTGTTTGTAATTAGATACAGAGGGAAGTTTCTGTGTTTTTTGTTTGTTGTTTTCTTTGTATAAGTAAATTAGCCACTATTATCTTCCAAGTAGTTTGGAATGTTATGTAGTCTGTGGGTCAAACCTGAATTCTTAAATCCAATTAGTTGTGTGCAGTAGTTCATTGCTTTAGTACAATATATTTTCATTTTTGACGTCATATGTTATTGTTTTTGGTTTATTCATACATATTTCACACCTAACATACAGACACCACTTAACAATGCTGTGCTTTAACACCTTAAATGTCTAAGAATATCTCCGTTTCCTTTGATGTTCTTTTTGTTACTGAATAATAAGCCTTAGTATGTATTAAGTCTGGGATTTTAAGAGGTTATCCTATATCAGATCCATAACATTACAGTATATGGTTATGCTCTACATACCACAGAGACAAGAAAACAAACCTTTTTACATGCAAATACTACATACAAGCACTTTTGCACTTGAATGTTAGCTTACATTATCCATTAAAGCCATTCCTGGGCATATTTTCCAACCTTTATTTCTAAGCTCAGTGATTCATGTCTGAAGTATGTAACTATTGCATGTCTATGGAATCTGCAGAATCACAGCTAGATGTTGGGATCTAGAGGTATCCATTTCTGAGATACAGTATAACACACTTTTTAATGATATAAATGAAAAACCACAAAAAGCAAACTATTTTCAAATGTATTCCTTTAAATATGAATACAATAAGGAGCAAACTCTCTTGCAACACCCCATGTGCCAAAGTCTTACAAAGCTTTGAAAAAAAAAAAAAAGCTTATACATCGTTTTTCTAGGTAACAATGTGAATGCATTGGCATGGTCTTCATAGGCACTTTTTATAGGGGATTATAAGGGGTGTTAGATGCTTCTTTCTTCTTTCTACCCTCTACAGTCTGCTGCAGGATATCCTGCAATATCACGCATTTTGAAAATGGGGATATTCTTCTGTGCCATTCCTGTGGCTACTGGAGCCAAAACAATGACATTGATGAAGTGAAATGCAAGATTTTAGTAGCTTGTGCAAGTAAGTGTTGAACAAACACAAAGCCAGTGAAAATGTGTTGATTTTTAATGAGCCTGTGTGGCCTAATTTTGCTTAGACCATTGAAAGTTAGCCACAAGTTGTATAAAAATCATTCAGCACTCATCTTTTCCACTGAAGTCTAAAAATCTAATGCATTTTTACCAAATCTCTTTTGGTAGTCATTTTAACAAAACATGCTCTGCAGGGTCGTGGGATTCTAAGGGTTAAAAAGTGTCACCCTGTAGAGACAGTTACCCAGTGAATATTCACAGCTTTGAAACTATACAAATTGTTTGTAACAGTATTAGGTGTTAGGATTTCAAGGCATATAACAAAGTGTTATTTTACATTCACATTCTGTTACCTTCTGCACATTTTAACAATTTAAATAAAACTTAGAACCTGATTTACACATTTTGTTGGCATTACTCAACAGATTAAAACATAGACAAGAACAGATTAAAACACAAACAAGTAACACATAAAAAACAGCAGTTCTTACCCTTTTTGCTACATGAGTAAGCCAATGTGGATTTGGAGCCTCACTCCTTATCTTGATATTGCATTTTTAATTTTAAATACACATAAAAAGTTTTATTTTGATCTAAAATGTTTATCTTGTGTTTTCGAATGAGTGTAAAATAAAATCAGATAAACCAGTTTTAGAGACATGGATATAAGTATCTAAGTAGTGTTCAGGACTTTGGATGAACATGTGTGTAAAATGGGTATATATGTACAATTCCACAAAAGTCAGGACTCTGTGTAAAATATATATAAATGTAAATAAAAACAGAATAAAATTATTTGAATAATGTTTTGCAAATTTCATAGACCCATATTTTATTCACAATAGAACATAGAACACATATCAGATGTTAAAAGTGAGACATTTTACTATTTCATGAAAAACATGAACTCATTTAGAACTTGATGGCAGCAACGTATCTCAAAAAAGTTGGGACTGGGGCAACAAAATGCTAATTAAGTAAACTAAGTAATAAGTGGTGCTAAGAAAAAAAAAAATCAGCTGGAGAAGCAATTTGCAACTAACTCACATGACTGAGTATAAAAAGAACATTTTAGAGAGCCAGAGTCTCTCAGAAGCAAAGCTGGGCAGAGGTTCACATATCTGTGAAAAACTGCATCTACAAATGTCAGAAAAATGTAAAATTGTGAAGACTTTAGATATCCTGCCATCTACAGTACATAATAACATCAAATAATTCAGATAGGTCAATATTGGATGCTCGTGATCTTCGGGCCCTCAGGCGGCACTGCATTGAAAACAGGCATGATTCTGTACTGGAAATCACTGCATGAGCTCAAGCTGTATCATGCAAAGAAGAAATCATATGTCAACACAATCCAGAAATGCTGCAGAATCTTCTCTGGGCCAAAGCTCATTTAAAATGGACTGAGGCAAAATGGAAAACTGTTCTGTGGTCAGATGAACCAAAACTTGAAATTGTTTTTGGAAACCACAGACGCCGTGTCCTGCGGACTCAAGAGGAGCGGTACCATCCAGCTTGTTATCAGTGCACAGTTCAAAAGCCTGCATCTCTGACTGTATGTGGTTGCATTAGTGCCTATGTCATGGGCAGCTTACTCATCTGGAAAGGCACTATCAATGCTGAACAGTATATAGAGGATTTAGAACAACATATGCTCCCATCCAGACAATGTCTCTTTCAGGGAAGGCCTTGCATATTTCAGCAAGACTAGCTAAACCACATACTGCATCCATCATAACAGCATGGCTTCGCAGAAGAAGAGTCCGGGTGCTGAACTGGCCTGCAGTCCAGACCATTCACTAATAGAAAACATTTGGCGCATCATGAAACAAAACATCCAGCAAAAAAGATCAGGACTGTTGAGCAGCTAGAATCCTACAACCGACATTGGGACATTATTCCTCTTGCAAAACACCAGCAATTGGTCTCCTCACTTCCCAGACGTTTACAGCCTGTTGTTAAAAGAACAACAAAAAGGGGATGCTACACAGTGGTAGATGTGGCCCTGTCTCAACTTTTTTTTTATAATGCATTGCTGCCATCAAATTCTAAATGAGTTAATATTTTTCATGAAATGGTAAAATGTCTCAACATCAACAATGATGTTCTATTGTGAATAAAATATGGGTCTATGAGATTTGCAAGTCACTGCATTCTGTTTTTCATATACTTATTTACATTTTACAACTTTTTTTGGAATTGAGGTTGTAAAAAAAGATATTTAGGTAAATGACTGAATAACATACCTTAATATTTATCGTTCAGGATTATACTGACAGAAACACTGACCTGAGTATTTCCAGTTTACAGTGTAAATTCTTCAGTCCAGCAGAGAGCAGCTCCACTCCTGAATCCTGCAGGTCATTATTACTGAGGTCCATTTCTTTCAGGGAGCTGTTTTCCATTTTTAAAACTGATCCAAGTTTTTCACATGTGTTTATTCCAAGATTACATAAAGGAAGTCTGCAAAAGAAGTAACTGTTCTTACTGTACACTTAATACTCAAATGAGGATATTTGAATGGAACAAAAAGAAGTTTTGTAGTGTTCACCATTATGAAGAGATTCAGCTTTCCCACAAGTCATGGTGCTTTATTTTGCTAAGGACTCTTGTTAAGGACTCTTCTAATTAGTTTATGAACTAAAATATGCATTCATTTTTTTTCGTTATTACAGAGTCTTCAAAACATCTTAGCACAAAGTTGATTTTTATATGGTAGAGCTAGCATCACACAGCCCTTTCTCTCTACCAGTTAAAACCAAAACACTAAGATGCTTTTGGCAAACCAGACCCTGTTTGGTTACAATTCCTCTGTGGTATGTCAACATCTTTAGGAAAATATGATGATCAAGTTAATCACTTCTCTGCAGCTTTTTCGTTAGGTTAATAATTTATACCAACTTTTCTTTCCTGCTACTCTAACAGCATGGCATAGTTTTCTCTGCGTTCAACTTGAAGTAATGACTCAGCCTAATTAATGCTGATTAACTGTGCATTTGTGTGACCCTCCAAGGCTGCAATAGAGTGAGAACAAACTACACAGCACACATCTACAACCCCATTTCCAAAAAAGTTGGGATGCTGTGCAAAATGTAAATAAAAACAAAATGCAATAATATGCAAATCATTTAAACACTATATTTCATTGAAAATAGTACAAAGACAGCATATCAAATGTTGAAACTGAGAAATTTTATTGTTTTTTTGAAAAACATTTGCCCATTTTGAATTTGAAACCAACAAACGTTCCAAAAAAGTTGGGACAGGGGTGACAAAAAAGCTAGTAAAGTTGTGTAACACACACACAAAAAAAAAAACACCTGCTGGTTGTTTGGCACCAGGTCAGTCACACAACTGGGTACAGAAAGAGAATCACAAGGACTCTGAGTCTTTCAGAAGTAAAGATGAGGAAGGGTTTACCACTCACATAAAATAGCAAAGAACTTCTGTTTTTCATCATCTACAGCACATAATAACATTAAAAGACTCAGAGAATCTAGAGAAATCTCTGTATGCAAGGGACAAGGCTGAAAACCAGTATTTGCTGACTGTGATCTTTGGGCCCTCAGGCCGCACTGCATTAAGAACAGACATGATTCTGTAGTGGAAATCACTGCATGGGCTCAGGAACACTTCTAAAAACCACAGTCTGTGAAAACAGTTCATCACTGCATCCACAAATACTAATTAAAACTCAAACGCAAAGAAGAAACGTGATATAAACTGGATCCAGAAATGCTGGCACCTTCTCTTGGCCCGAGCTCATTTAAAATGGACTGATGTGAAGTGGAAAAGTTTCCTGTGGTCTGACAAATCAAAATTTGAAATTCTTTTTGGAAAACTTTGTCCTCTGGGCCAAATACCACTCACCTTGTTATCAGTGCACAGTTCAAAAGCCAGTATATATGATGGTATATATATATATATATATATATATATATATATATATATATATATATATTCAGCAGCATAGCTCCACAGTAAAAGAGTCAGGGTGCTAAACTGGTGTGAATGCAGATGAGCCCCCAAACAGTTGAGCAGCTGAAATCCTCTATCAAACAAGAATGGGAAAACAGTTCCCAAACGTTTACAGAGTGTTGTTAAAAGAAGAGCTAATGCAGCACAGAGGTAAACAGGCTCCTGTCCCAACTTTTTTGGAACGTGTTGTTGGCATTAAATTCAGAATAGGCATATATTTTTTCAAAAAACATACAATTTTTCAGTTTCAACATTTGATATGTTGTCTTTGTTGTATTTTCCTATAAATATGGTTTACATGATTTGTATATTTTTGCATTGTATTTTTATTTATATTCTGCACAGCATCCCACCTTTTTTGGAAATGGAGTTCTACAAGCATTAATACAGACCAAGCAATGTGGTAGGAAACAGTGCAGAAATGGAAAAAATACAACTGTGCAATACAATGCTTGTCTAAAGTACTAGGATACTACACCCACACACACACTGCTACTTGAACAATATGTATACACTGAATGTATAGCTGATATGACCAGATAAGAGGGATAAATGTCTGCCACAGTGAAAACATGGCAACTAGAAAGAATATATTAAAAATACATAAAAGTGAAAAAATAATATTGTTTAAAAACATCAAAATTTAATATGTTTATAAAAGGTAAAAATGGAATATTATAATATTTTCAAGAAAGATAAAAGTGTAATATTATAATGTTTAAGAAAATAAAAGTGTAATAATATAATGTCTATAATGCAGTCACACTGAATGCAAGTCAAATTTGCCTGGTGAAAAAACTTCAATGAGAGACAACCATTTAATTTTGCTTCACACAAAGTTTATCTAGATAGCTAACTAGCTAATTTTAGCTGTTCACCGAACTATACGTTCTTTCCATAACCACATTACTGTAGGACTGCCCATATTCGCATAATTTTCATGATCCTGGCAAAGAAAATAGCTAGCAAAAACAATTTGATGTAACTTTGGAAAAGTACAAGTAATCTTGTCTAAGAAGTTAAAAATTTAATATTATAATATTACCTAAGAAGGTAAAGATGTTAACTCTATGGTTTTAGTTCATCTGAAGGGTCAGCCTCTGCCACTCATCTAACAATAAACCTGCCACTTAAACATCCAGTGACCGAAGTATTTCCCAGGTTTGATTAATGGTATTATGGCTTACAGAATCATTTTACAGCTTTAAATTAGCCTGCATTCATATTTTCTTAGACATTGAACTTACGCTGAAAATTTTGTAAATCAAATTTAGTTAGCACAGATGGTTGCAGGTAACACCATGGTCTGCGCTGAGCTGAAAGTTTGATGGACATAGTAACAGTAACAACAGTAACAACAACAGCAGTAACAGTAACTACGGCAGGCAGGACTTGTCAGAATTTTTGCAGTCAATTCAGAAGAATAAGGAATTTACAGTTAAATGTGCTCAAGTCCACAATTTCAGTTCAGTTTCAATATACATTGGAGATTAATAATCCTGTGTTTAGATCTATTTAGCAGGACAGTCAATATGGAACTATTGGATTGTTTTGGATTAGCAGAATAGTTGGTATATAACTATTGGATTATTTTGGAAATTAATAATGCTGTGCCAGCAGGACAGTTGGTATAGGACTATTGGATGATTTTGGAGATTAATAAGGTTGTGTTTAAGGCTGGGTAGCAGGACAGAGATTAGGAGAAAAGTATTGACAGTGACAAATAACATGAGCAAATGGAGTGCTGGATCTGGTGCTGTTTCCTGAGTAGTGGCACAGAGAATATATTTCCTTGTTTCATTCCTTTTTCTTCTTCAGTATAAAGTACTTTGTTTTCAATGTAAGGCTGTCAAATCACTCTGCAGTAACTTACACACTCCTGCATAAACTCTTCCTGTCCATCAACTCTATGACTTATCTGCATCTTTGTAAACTTCAAACATCTCTTGCAGCAAATTTCTCGAGACTATTCTCTCTCATCACAATACTTCAGTATCTCACTACAGTACATCTCAGGAAATATTTACAAATAAATAATTTGACAAACACCAACCTGAGTATCTCCAGTTTACAGTCTCCAGGCTTCAGTCCAGCAAAGAGCAGCTCCATGCCTCCTGAATCCTGGAGGTCATAGCTACATAAGTCCAGCTCCTTCATGGAGTGGACTTTTGTTTGTAGAGCTGTTACAAGAGATTTGCAGGACTCCACAGTGAAATTACAGATGGCCAATCTGCAGAGGCAGAGCAAATACAGAGAGCACAGTTCAATCAGAAGATGTGGAATCATACAGAAATACATGAATAAAACTGGTAAAGAAATCATCATTGGAACCTCTGATCATCATTGTGTTTGTTTTCCTGGCAGAATTATTGCAGTGATTGTTCCTTCACCTAATCTGTATAACTATGTGTTTTTTATTTTTTTTCAGTTATAGATAGTTTTTCAGATATGTAAACATATAACTTTTTCAATGAATGTATTCACATACAGAAGTTACAACAGTTGGAATAAACATTTAAAACAATTAAAAACATGTGCACCAACAATATACCTATACTTATTGGCCATTTAACAGATCGACCTGCAAATTATGTGCACTGTGTTAGTTTTCTGAGTGTAGCCCATCTGTTGCTGCACAATTTATCATCGCCCTCTTTCTTGTTCATCAATGGAAAGAGATCACCGTAGGACTGCTGACCAATATTATTTGGGTGAGGGTGAGTCTACAACAGTCACAGCAGTTGCAACTACTTCATGAAAAATGTTTCATGAAACAACTAGTCAGCATACGGTTAACACACCATGAGATTGTCAAACAATATCATTCTAACTGACTGATTTTCATTGACACATCATGGATAAGAAAATATAACACACATGATTATCTCTAGGATAATTTTGCTTACTTGCTGAAAATAAGTTAGCTTAGATAGCTAGCTAGCCAGCTAAAGCTAATTTGATGGCTGTTTGAACAGCTGCTTGTGGCAGAGTTGGTCTGCCTTAATAGCCTGCTAAACAATATTTATGTAGCTAGGTTATTCTCCTCTCTTGACATAAAATGATCAAAAGGTGCAAATTTAAGCTAAATAGTACATTTTTGTGTAACAGTTCAGTTCCACAGTGCTTATATTTCATTAATTTAATGAAGGAATAATTAGATCAAACAAATACTGGATGATCTGTGTGAATACTGGGCTTCCTAGAGGCGAAGTTTGGAAATAGTTAAGCTAAAAAATTAATTTCACATATTTGTGGAGTCTGACCTGAGTATTTCCAGTTTACAGTGTGAACTCTTCAGTCCAGCAGAGAGTAGCTCCACTACTGAGGGCTCGAGGTTATTTTTGCTGAGATCCAGTTCTTTCAGGGAGGAGTTTTCAGTTTGTAGAGCTTCAGTCAAAGTTTTGATGGAGTGTACAGTGAGATTATAGCCAGCAAATCTTCAGAATGGGGAAGAAAATAAAGTGAGTAAAATATATGAACTTTCAGAAAATTTTGCATGTGGAATGTAATCGTTTACGGCACGAAATCAAAGTGATGAAGATACAAAATAAAAATGTACACAATGACTAAAATTTTTTCTCAAAACTAAATTGTCATTACATGTCATTTATTATATACCACCACCACAATAAATAAATGAAAAAGTACAACAAAATTGATAATACTTTGTGCTTTAAATAGGTCTAATGTATACCACCCCCAATTGAATTGAAACCAATTTCGTTGTTTCTCAGTGAGTGTTTGCTTTTCTCAATAGCGTTAAAAACACACTCAGTAAACAGCTATGCCATATATTAACCCATACACTAAAACTATTAAAACACTCCTTTTCTAAAAGCCAAGAGAGTGGGAGAGACATCCACACCTGCTGTTCCATTCATTTATGATGAGTTCTTATGGTAGATTTATGGTAAAATATTGTAGCATTACCCTACTGGCTCATTCAGCTATGGACACACAGGAGGAGGCATGGCCACACAGAGTGACTATTCATCTCTTGGGAGATGTCGCTCCTGGTAAGTGTGAAACTTTAGTTTGCAAATAAGTTACTCTTCATTTGTCTAAAATGTGTTCATTGTTATGCCGGACTTTGGTGAAGTTAGGCAGTTGTGTGTGTCTACCAGGAATGGAAAATATAAGGCGAGAAGTGTCCTGCCTGCTTCCCAGCCTGCTTCAGTAGTGCTGGGTGGCGGTTCTCCACTGCTGCTGTGTTCAATAAAGAGCATTCATCAAAAGTGAATATTTCCCATGTCACCTTCTTTGCCAAGACATCACATGTAGTGGCAGAAATATGATAGCACACCAGCAGTCTAGAGGAACATGGCACTACCACAAGCTCAAGCAGAAGACTCAGCCTGGCTGTGAACTGTGGAGGTAGAAGAAGCACAACAAGAACTGACAGCAGAGCCCAGTGGGAGGGCATTTGGACAGCAGCTGGCAAGGACTTGCTGGCAGAGCAGCATGGCAGCCAGGCAGCTTTGGCCACAGCTCTCCAGCTGCACTTCAAGGTGACAGTGGAGCTGAGTGCGATGGTTCAGCAGGCATATCCGGCATTCAAGAGAACAGCACCGAAAATTTGGCACTGGGGCACCTCCTGTGTGTGCTGTTGCCAGAGGAGGTGGGATGTTACAATCAGCTTGCTGCACCAGCCTGCCTTCAAGCTGTCATAGCTGAGGCAATGAATACCGCTGTGCTGGGGAGGGAGTCAGTCTCTCTGTTGTTGCATGCATGGCTGAGGAGGGTTTGCCCCATGGCATGTGTGTTACTGGGATCTTGGACATTCAGAACCCCTCTTGTGGAGAGACCACGATTGGGGAGTACCATGCCCCTATGCGCCCCAGGGACTCTCCTCAAACTTTGTATGTCACAGGAACAGCGTACAGGCTTAATTCTCTCTCATTTGGACTAATATCTTATCCCTTCAACAAAATGTTCCATTTTACTTGGTAATAGCAGTGGAATTGAACTAAATTTTACTTTCTTACCTCCATAATTCTGTTTTTTATCCTCAGCAGTGGAAGGCTTGCAAGAAATAATTACAAAGCAACTCCCAGGACTCAAACATGAATGAGCAGCTGGACTTGCTTGAGTTGTGTGCCTACAATTGTAACCCACCTGGGGCCCATATCTGTAGCCCACATTTGTAACTTAACTGGGGCCCATAAATGTAACCCAACTGGGGCCACAAATGTAACCCAAAGGGAACCCATGAATGTAGCCTAGCTGGGGCCCATGGTTATAATCCAACTGGGGCCCATGGTTATAACTCAACTAGGGCCCACATACAGCCCATCAAAAAGCCCACTAAAGCCCATGCCCAGGTAAAACCCACATGGGGCCCACATGGACATGTTAGCTGGGCAGCTGCTTTAATAAATCAGGCCGTTACCTACCGAAGTAACCAGCTCAACTGTAAACATACTGTCTAATCTGAAAATGGATGGGCACGTGTGTGTGTGTTTATGTCCGAATGCGACATAAAGACCTTGCGCTCTGAAAAGACCTTTTTTTGTTAACCCTCTTCAGACCACCTTGACTTCTTCAACATTTTGTATGATCCATAAGTAATGACACAGTATTAATACTAACTTAATAGTATTTATGTTAAACACTCACTGAGCCTTTCTGTAGTTTGAGATAGCTGGGATGAGTCTTCTATAACCCTCCTCTGATGTGTTGAATTTCTTCAGGTCAAACTCTTTTTTCACAGAAACTGACTGGAGACGCATGTAGGTAATGACTGAGCACTGTGCAGGAGAAAGCTTCTTTTCTGAAAATTTGTCTGGAATTATAGAGAAACAATGCAAAGCTTTCAGAAACCACCATCATCCATTGACTGTAAATGTTTGAACACATGACTCTCTCTGAGCAAATCCTGAAATTAACAGTGGCTTTTAGAAAAAATTAAGTGCTCTTTAGAAAAGAGTAATTTCGTAAGTGACTTTAATGGATATGAATTGCCCGTGTGATTCTGATGTATTTGGGCCATTTTCCTCATCATATGTGTCACCTGTGTCTCTTTCATAGCCCCAACCTGTGATCACTGTGTCCTCCTGTGTTATGTGTCATTTGGAGGTTATGTAACTGTATTACATTCGCCTATCGTTTTCTTAATGTGGCCTATCCCTTCTATGTCTTCATGGATTCTTTTGTCTTCTGCCATAGACTTATATATACTAATATAATAATATTAACAAACAATATTTACTCCAGAGGTTCTCCATCACCAGGGCTGGGGAAAACTGCCCTATAGCACTGCTTCTTGATTACTGTCACAAGGCAAGTGATAAGAAAGAAATTTAGACAAGTTTAAAAACAGATTGTTTCAGTGAAAGTCATTTTTCTGGAAGTGCTATTACACCTTATTTCATTACAATGCAGGTGTATCTAACACCGTAAGACAGTGTTACAATTTCTGTTAATCCAATTTTGTGCAATTTGATCCTTATTAAACATTTAGATTGATCTGTTCTTACACAGAGTAAAGCTGCAGAGTGTGACCTTCACTTGCACTTGCTCCTGGCAGAACTGGTTAAGCCAAGTGTTGTGGACTTTTAAGAAACAATAAAGTCAAGTTAAATCTTTTGAAAAGTATCAAATTAGCTGAATTAGCTACTTAAAAATTTAGAACACTTCATTATATATAGCAGTAATGAAATGGTAAGCTTAAGTGTGTACCAATATAAAATTTTTAGGTGGCCGCAAATGATCTACTTTCATGAATAGGTGAATAATAATAATAATAATAATAATAATAATAATAAAGACATTTATTTATAACTATGTTTTTATGCAGTATCCCCACAATTGTATTAATTTTTTTTTTTTCAAGCCTATCAAAATGTTTTTTGGACCAAAGCCGTTTGGCTAACATTAATTTACAATTAGTGAATGCATGCCCCAAATCTAACTTTTATTTAATTCAAATATGATGCACTGAATCTGAATATGTGAAATGATGGACTCAGAGAAGCAAGATACAGATGCACAGCAAGACAGATCCTTAATGCTTGTCCAAAAGACACACCTAAAATTTGCAGTCTAAAAAACAGTCAAAAGATCAAAATCAGGATATCAGAGGCTTGACAAAATTCAAGGTCAAACCTATAGCAAAAACATGTCAAGACCACAAAATTCACTTGAACAGCCAAAGAAGGAGAAGGTCTCAGAAACGTGGAGTGAACTCTAGAGACGTTGAAAGACACTGAAGATTTGCTCAGACCAAAAAATCCAGTCTCTGATTTCAGTCAGCTGTGTTTCAGGTGTAATGAGTAATAGTCAGGGCTGAGGCAGGCTGCTGATCAGTAGACCGGTGAAGCAGAGTAGGTGTAGACTTGGGTATGAAATTGTGTTTCTGTTTGGCTTGTAGTAACAACAAACATGCTGATTAGCTCAAACTATACTGCAGTGACTTGTTGCTGGCCCAAAGCTATATGAGCCCTGTAATATTTGGTGACTTCCTGGGATTTTGACTTCTATGTAAGTGGCATCTGGCAGAAATATTCATGAAGCAGCCCCCAGATAGAAAACATTTGATGATGTGGCTGCAGTATACACTTGTATTTTTTTTCACAAACTCTGTTTTTGTGGATGGAGTAGAATTACATCACTGCAGACTGTTGTGGTGGGAAAGAGGTTTACTAACTAAGGCCACTATCTCATCATTGCTGAAAATTCAGTTTCTCTTTTGTCTGGAGCTTGTTGATGGCTCCATTATTTCAATGCCTCTTTTAAAGCACTCATGGTTAGAGGGTAGAGCTGTAGTCCATCATTACTTACATAGAATGTAGTCTGAATAGTGTCTAGTATAATGTGCTTTGTAACAGACAAGAATTAGGAATATTGAAAAAAATAAATTTCTGTTCTTAATATTGAATTAATTCAGAAGATACATAGTTTTTTTTTTACTGTTGTATTTCGTCCTGTTGTGTATGAATGCTTCAGAGCACAGATTCACCAAGCAGCTAACTTCATGGTTTAATGAAATACTGATATATTTTTCTTCATCTTTAAGTAAGCACTCCAGCAGAACCACAGTGACTGTACTGTTGAGAACTACAACCACAGTCACTGCGCTGTTGGGAACAACAACAGGTTGTGCATTTTACGTTGTGCACATGCCTCTCAAAACCTTTCAAAAGCAGTTAATGATTCAAATCTTTGACTGAAATGAAATATACTTTGTGTGGACTTTGTTATAATAATATAATATGTAGAATAAAATATGTTACATCAGCACAGTTAGTTTTTTTAATTCATCCGTTTTGGTGTGGTTGTGTTGATGTAATACATTTTATTCTTTTGCAACCACGTGACATATTTCAACAATATTTGAATACTTAAAGCACCATTTTTTCATTGTTCAACTGAAAAGTAATTCTGCCAGTTCTGACAACTTCCTAGTGCTTTGAAACAAGTATTAAAATATGATTTTTGAAAATCCATAAGTTTAAGACAGAGCATGAAAATTAACATGTACTGACCATTTTTGGCACTAGAGAAACTGGTAAAAGAGTTTAGCTTTTTGTGTCCTTACTTGGCATGTGATCATGCTAAAGCATACAGTTATGACATCATATTTTATGTATATGCATACAATCCAAATATGGAAAAGTTTTAAAAATATTTTTTCTGAAAATAATTCATAAAAACTGTACCTTTCAAGATGCATGCTGTAAAAATGATTAATATAATGGCAAATACTGAAATGCAGATGATGGCAATCTTCCAAGCATGAAAACCTTTTCCTGAAATACAAACCAGATACAAATTTAGAAAGACTTTATGCAAGACATATCTTGATTTTGCGTTGATGAAATTATCAATAAAAAAATATATAAATTAAGTAAAGTCTAGTTTGAATGTTTTCTTTACATTTGTGTGTGTCTTTATGTATGTCTGATTTATTGTTTAGTTTTTGTACTAAAAATGTTTAATAAAAATATTTTCACAAAAAAGTTCTATAATTATGTCATTTGTATGAAACTGTCTCACATACTGACATGATTTCAAATTATACTTTAAGGAATTGAAATACTGTTTGTGGTCACTCTCTGGTTCTGTTCTATAACGATGAATTAGTAACACTTCAAGGTTGCGAATCTATCATTAATTATGTTGTTAATAATTCATTGACAACCCATTATTGATATATTAGTTAACTGTTTTGAAAAATTTGGGAGGGTTACTACTTAGTAATTAATTATGTGTTTAGTTGTGAAATATCAGGCAATTAGCTGTTTCACAACAGAGGGGGTCCTTGTCCTTGGTAAGGGCACAGCTGCTTGTATGGGCTTACAAAAGAATGTCTATTGTCCTTAGTAGATGCGCAAACAGCTATTTGTAACAATGTATGTTGTCCTGACATAATCATTAACAGATGACAGCTGCAGCACAAGTAGTCAGTATAAAGTCCCCACTTTTTCATCAGACTGGCCTGCTGAGTAAAGCTTGAATAAAGCTCATAATTTCTGCAAACGCTGTTCTCCTGAAGTCTCTTCATTTGGAAAAAGAAAAGACTGACAACAATAGGAAGTAAGAGAATAATAAAACAGCTGAATCTGAGGAAGTGAAAGTGGCCACTAAAGCCCAAATATTATGTTCTGTTTTAAGGCTGCACAATGAAGGAAAAAGATTATTTACAGGACTATGGAGTAAGCTCTAGTTCTAATGTTACTTCTATATATGAGTAAACACACATATGAGTTTGTTGTCAACACAATAATCAGTAGTTTGTAGACATTCAATGAGTAAATAAGCGGTTTAACAATGTACTGAAGTACGTATTACTAAGTACTTAATCTGTTACTATGTGTTAAAAAGTGCTTGATGAATGGTTAATTGAAATTAAGCACTTAATAACGTAATTAGTGACCCATAATGTGAAATGTTACCGATAAATTAATGTATTTTATGCAAGCGCATCATAAATCAAAAGTAATCGTACACTGAAATTGTGATGGTTCTTACCTTTAACTTCAACAATAACAGTTACATCATCATACCATCCAAGAGACTTAATGTAACACTGGTAAGCTCCCTCATCAGAAGGCTGGACTGCTGAGAGTTTCAGTGAAGTGTTTCCTTTTTTCAGTTCTTCCTTAAACAGGGCTGTTCTCCCTACGTAAGATTCCATCTGCCTCTCATTTCTGTCTTCATATCCTTTATACTGATGCACTAGTGTGTCGGTGGTATCAAAGGGCAAATGCAGTCTGATCCACTCCACCATCATGTCTTCAGCACTGACGCTGGGTTTGATAAAGCAGGGCAAAACCAAATTTTCACCAGCTTCGACAACAAGTGGAGAAGCTGGACCAACTACTTTTAAAAGTTCTAGAAAGAAAAAGAAAATCATGATTACTAAAATGAGGCATCCATTTTCTCCTGTTATTCTCTCAATGTAGTCATAATTAGCTACTAGTTTAGTACTTCTGCAATCTATTGCACTTGATCTGTCACACAGTATCACTGCACCTAAACAGGGTCAGTGGAGCACACTAATTACTTGATTTCACTATTTTATATGACCAGATTTCCAGTTGTGTCCTCATAGGCCCTACTACAAACAAAAACATTGCTTGTTTTACTCAGTCCAAAACTGAGTACCACACTAATTTACTTTATGTTTCAGACTTAACTAGTTCATTTGTATACTATTGATTCATCCCCTGTTGTTGGTTTCCAACAACTATGACCCTAAAATTAATTTGAAATAATAATAATAATGATAATAATAATAATAGTCCCTATTATTACTGTTATCACTCACTTTTGACTATAACATGAACAACGATGTCATCATGCCAGGACTCTGACTCAATGTAGCATTGATAAACTCCCTCATCAGTAGGTTGGACTGCTGAGAGTTTCAGTGAGGTGTTTCCTTTCTGCAATTCTTCTTTAAATAAAGCAGTTCTCCATCTGTAAGACTCAATCTGCTTATCATTTGTGTCTTTATGGTGTCTATAGAGATGTACTAATTTATCAGTTCCGCTCAAATCTGGTCTGATCCACTCCACCATCATATCCACAGCACTGATGTTGGGTTGGAGAGAACAGGGCAGAACCAGATCTTTACCAGCTTCAACAACAAGAGGAGCAGCTGGACCAATTAACTTAATGTTTTCTGCAAAACAACAACAAAAACAAAAACAAACAAACATGATATGTAATAAAATTATGTTATTGGGAAAATTAGGCATAAGAAAATCAGATTTACTTTAAGCATTGCATTAAAAATACAGAGTACTGAGATGTGGATAAATTTTTCAGATTTAATTTATTGTTGGCATTTTCATCAAAGGATAAAGTGTTTGACTTTTTCCATGTATGTCTTCTGTAATTATTTATTGCAAATTTTATAGATAAGTAAGCTAACAATATAAATCTTAATGATTAATAAATCATTCATAATAAATCTTTCACTTTAGATACACATACACATTTAGCCACAGCATAACTCTCTCTCGCTCGCTCGCTCTCTCTTTCTCTCTCTCTCAGACACACACAGTTTCTTTACATTGCTCATGTACCTGATATGGTCTCCATAAAGCCAGTGAAAACCAGTAGCATCACACAGAGAAACATGATTCCTGAACAGCAGCTTGAAGAATGGAAAAGCAAAATAGAGAGTTGTTAAAAGCAAAAATAGAGTTCTGCATGCAAGATGAAACATTCAAACAATTAAAAATACAACATAATTCAGCCATAACTAAATCAGTAATTATCCTAATGTAGACCCATAGTTCACTAGACCTGCCTTCATCTCTTACAGTGACAGCCTCAACATGAGCAGGCAACTCTCTGACATGCACCAGAGAAAACAACAACAAAAGCAACTGTGAAGGTTAGTAAATCTTCTCATATTCAAGTACACCATCAGATACATTAGCTGGCTGACATATTGGGCCATTATTCAGATTTTTGGGCATCTGCATTGGTTAATAAGGAAACTCCCAGTGTTGACAATAGACTGTTAAAGTCCTGTCAAAATAAAAATCAAAGTTTGTATACTGATTAAACGGAATGAAAATGTTCAAAAGAATGTTTTACATAGATTACAGAGATCTGTGCAGTGATGGCAATATTGTTATAGTCATAATACCATTTATCTAACTAATGTTTTCTCACTGCTAGGGGTTCAGGTTGAAAGAACATTTAATTGTTTTTAAACAGTCAGCTGCACAGATGTATATCCAAAAATATGTATTTTTTGATATTTGTAAAATAAAGTTTATGTTTCTTTTTGTCTGCTTGTAGACACAGGTAGAGTAGCGACACTAATGGACGAACACTCCTGGTCTTTATCCCTTGATATGCTCTTCTTCTACATCTGTTAGCCATCCTCTGGGTTGTTATAATTATATGTGTAACACTGTCTACTCTGTGTATCACAGATGAATTCAACTGGATTATCTATAAAGTGTGTATCACATGGCTGGCTTGATTAATTTGAATACTTGAGTGTTCATTCATCACATAGATATTCAGTTCTCTAATTAGTATTCAGAAGCATTGTCTTTTTTAGCTACCTAATTTGTAGCCTAAAATAGATTACATTAGAAAAGACCTGTAAATAGAACAGTTCATTTATCCGAATAAAGAAATTAAGAAATAAAGCCAGAAAGAAAGAAAGAAAGAAAGAAAGAAAAAAACCTTCATGAGTCTAATCCACAATCCCTCTGGCTCTGCCCTGCCACATAGATGTTTAAATAGTTTATTTTGACTCATGTCAATTGTTTAATTTAGTGCATTTTAGCCATCACAATGTGAAACTAATCAATCCGAATTAAGAAGATACAACATCATAAAAACACATGCAGTCTGCAGCAAACAAACTAGCTGTGGAAAACAGCCTTGAAATGATGAAATGATCATGTGACTCACTTAACAATAAACTCCACTTCTCTGACCTCTTTCAATTTTATAGTAAGTTTATTTAAAAAGTCTCATCCTTTCAGAGTCTTCAGTCAGAAAAGTTCATCTCTGTCTTTATCAGGATCTCCAGTCCTACAGCAGAGACACATCAGCTCATATATGATAATACGATCTGTGGTTTCTCACAGTAGACCAGTTTATGATATCACCCTCCTGAACACACACTCAGCTTCTCTACTGGAGTTTAGACTAAATGATAAACTAGCTGTAACTTCCTTTTCCTTAGAAAGAGAAAACCAGTTGGAGCACATTCAATTAAATTAGAGTGTATCTGATATTAAATCTTAACAAGACTGGGCAAGAAGAGCTTTGAAGGATCAACATCATCTAAACTGCATTTGTCACACAACCGTCCATGATACCAGATTTATTTATATGCCAAACTTTATGTACTGGGTGGTGAATTCATATTTTACCCCACCAGCTGCAGTTACCAGTCAAGTTTTATCATTACTAAGTAGTGATTATTAAGAATAAATAAATTAGTTTATATATTTACTGTCTTATAAGCTTTTACTAAGTCAGTTACGTATTATTAAGAATTAGTATGTTTTGGTCTTGCAAATTCATGAATAAACGTCTTTTACATATAAAAAGGAATTTGTAAACATTTGTAAGTTCCTACCTTAACAAAGCCTTCAAAACTGTGGTCTAGAATTAAAAAGGATTTTTTTTTCAGGACATCCTTATTAAAAACATTAAAAACTCCCATACACCACTGTGGACAGATTAATAAAGATTTACAAAGCACCTGATCTGCTCTCAGTCAACGAATGCAAGGAATTTGCATTTTTTCATTTTTCATGAGACAAAATCATAAATATGAGACACATCATAAAGACCTCACTGCCAGAAATTGATGCTGCTCCACACAGAAAGGGTTTAGTTATAATTTCTCGGTTTAGCAATATCAGTGTCAAAATTCCTGAGAAAAGCTTGAAACACTCTTCCTGCTGTCTTTTTAAATCATAGATGTTCTCAATGATGTTTTAAGTGCCTAGAAATGAATCTTCTGCAAATAAAGTAAATGATTTGGTAATATCAGGTTTGCTCCCAGTTTTACTGAAAACTGCAGCTGTTAAGCCCATCTTAAAAAAGAACCATTTAAATGTCTCCACATAATTTTTCAAAGCTTCTGCATAATTAAATAATAAAAAATTCAGAGTGGTTTGATATGAAATAGTTAATTATAAAGAAACTTCTCAACGCAGATTTCTCTAAAGTGGTGGTGATAGGAACCAGAGGTTGCCATTACTACAACACAAATATAGACATTGTACTTACTATCCAAAACCACCAGTGAACCTACACATGTCTTCTGAGTTTATGTGGAATGTTGATGATGGTAAAATAGTGATAAATCTGAAAAAGTACATAATTTTTTAGAACTCAAAGCATGTTTTCACCTTAATCAAACAAGTTACGTCAAAACTATTAAAAAAAAAGTCTCAGATGTCATGTGGTGTATTCTTAGTGATTTAACTTAATAATGTTTGTGAGGTAGTTTAGAGGCATAAAATATGTGTGATGACTTTTTGCCATCTCATCTTGCATTATTTCATAATTAAAAAAATAAATAAATACGTGAACACTGCATGATTTTCAAAGCATTATTCAATAAATGTCAAAATATCGATTTAGCAATTTGCTAAATATTAAACAATAACGCTAAATAGAAGAGAGGAGCTGTTTTGTGTTAGCATACCATGCTAACATCTCACTACAGAACATACTAACACTAACAAGTTTAGATAATAATCATTCAAATGTAAGGAAGTGAAGTTGAGCAACAATTGAAGGGACAGAAGGGAAAGAAATGGTGTTTGGATCTGTAGCCTGATTGGCTAGTTTAACATTTGATTAGCAAGAAAGATACACATACAAACAGTGCCAACAATCACAGTACAGGCTTGATTCTGAAAACTGGTACTCTCTTGATGCAAATTTGGATAAAAACTAAAAATTAATGTTTGAGAGAGAAAAGTCTGAGTAACTAGTGTTGGAATGTCAGAAAGCCAGAATCGATCCTGTTCTGTGGTGCTGGGGAGAGAGAGCTTATTTAGCTGGCCAAACATCACACCACAGCACAGGCTTGGTTCCAGCTAACTGATGCTAAAATGACACCCATGTATGGGATATCTGAGAGTCGAGTGACTTTTGTTAGAGTGAAAGCTGAAATTCAGCATATGTATCTCTTTAGTGTCTCTTTAGTGGCTCATCTACTATCCTGCTTAGTTTTTCTTAGTTTGCTTGTTTTTTCCTGGCCCTGATTTTTCCCCTCTTTCTGTCAGCGCCACCTATTGATGAGCTGCTACACCACCAATCAGTGAGCACTCAAAAATATAAATGGGTGGAATGTGTTTATTTAGTCATTCAGACTTGGAATGGAAATTTAACATGTCATAATTTTGAAATACCATCATCATTTTGGAATACTGTCATATTTAAAAAAAAATACTGGTTAATTTTTTATTTGCTGGACCACAGGACACATTTCCACTTCACCTCAGTCCATTTTAAATGTACTCAGGCCCAGAGAAGGTGGCAGTATTTCTGGATCATGTTTATATATTATTTCTTCTTTGCGTTTTAGAGTTTTAACTTGTGGATGCATTGATGAACTGTTTTCACATACAGTGGTGTGTTTCTGAGCCCATGCAGTGATTTTCACTACAGAGTCATGTCTGTTTTTAATGCAGTGAGGGCCCAAAGATCACGGCCAGCATATATTGGTTTTTGGCCTTGTCCCCTGCATACAGAGATTTCTCCAGATTCTCTGAATCTTTTAATGATCTTCTTTAATGGATCTTCTTCCGGCGCCACTGTGAGTGGCAGCCTTTCCAGTAGCTCTGTGTTTTGTGTACTGTTTTTGCATTTTTTCCTTAATTTTTCTTTTTCACTTATATCACTAATTTAGTGACTGTTTTGTATGTACTGAGGACATGGAACCTGTTTTCATACATACGGGCAGAACTTTGTTTACACAAGGGAAGAGCTGCTAGCGCTCTGAACAAAGGGTCGCACCAGCAAAACGCACTCCATTCCAGAGGAGCTGCGGAGGAGCTATCGGGGTTGCAGAGCCGGCACTAAGCTAAATGTATGTAGACTGCCCCACTAGGAAGAACAGGACAATTGATCTCCCTTATGCCAATGTGAAGGATACAAACACTGCCACACCCCTGCCCCCTCTCAGAATATCTGACCACAACTTGGTCTACCTGCAGCCTCACTGTTTCTATTCATCACCCAATAACTTGATCAATATCGCCATCTAGTGGTTAGGTGAAAAAAAACATACTTCCCCCAGCAGACCTGAGTTTAAACATGCTGTCTCCAATACAGTTGACAGGATTTTTTCTTATGAGAATTATTTATCCTCTCTTAACATTGTGTTTGATTTAGTTGGTTATTCGCTGAAATATTTCTTCTGCTTTTAGAACTGTGCTTATTTTGAGTTTATTGCTCTTGTGAAGCTACTGTAGCGACTCAGAGATTAGACCAGTAACACATATTTAATAACTACGTAAATGTGTCAGAAAAATATACAAGGAGTACAAGGAAAATTCATACTGAAACTATCGTCATGGTGGTTCTCAATGGAGAGACCACACCAGACTCATGGATTCATATATGGTGCACCTTTGCCATGTTTATTACTATTAATATAATTATTTAAAACATTTGAACATACTGCTACAACCCTTAAGCAATTTGCCTATCAATTATCCAATATATACAGCAGTAATAAGCATTCCCTCTATATTCATTTAATACAAAAGTACTTTTGGCAACACTTTTGGTGTCTCCTTCTGGAATTGCTCTTGAGAATGTTTTCTGTTTACTGCCCCCAACAGTGAAATGAAATATCCACCCTAAAACCACTTTCAAGTTATGAACTTCACTTCCACAACCAGACATTTCAGCCATAATCTCAAAATACAGCGCTCAGGAGAAAACAAGGTGGACATGACTGATAGAGCTAATAAACACGCCCCTCTAAAGCGCTGCGGGTCAAACCGCGCCACTGCACATCACCACGCCTTTTACAGTATTAGTGCTTTATCAGCTCAATGTTCCTCATAAACAGTAATGCGCTCTGAATTCAGACAAGACACATAATTAAATAAACACATTAAATACGACTATATCTGTATTCAGCGCTCAGTTTAGTGTTTATACATTTAGACCTTCACTCAAACTCACTCTCGGTCCTCTGACCAGACGTTTGTCTCGTATTTCAGTGATCGGTCACTGAGTATCTGCTGTACAGTAAATTTAATTCTCCACTGAGTTCAGCTGAAAGACCAGTTTAGTATCTGTGAAACACATAAAATCGTGCTCTCGTTTTAAACTACATGCAGAAATTCCTGATTTCTGTTAGTCAACTTACCGAATGAATCCAAAGCGCTGATGTCTGAGCTCTTCTCTCCGTTTGTAACGGCGTCAGATTAAAGTTGCTGTCGGTTTCTCTCTCACTGCCTCACCCCTCCCCCCTCCACCAGTCTCTGTTCCTCTTCCTTTCTGATATCAACAGCGATACAGTAGCGAGTTGGGATCACTGTCCATCACTAAAGACATGTATTACCACATGAAATGTAAGTAACATTTACATTACATTAAAAGCAGTTAGTTTGTTTACTATAGTGAAAAGCCTATAATAGTAAAGTATCAAAATGTTTTAATAACAGTCATTTAAGTTCATCTAAAAGGGACTCCCACCTTCTTGCTAGACCCCCTGTTATACCATCTGGTCAGTGCCTCCAGGCTGGTGATGAAACATCTACCTGCATAAGTTTAATTCATACATTATATAAAGTATGAATTATATAAATAATGCTGTGGCAGACCTAATATTTATTGGAAAACACATTACTTTTGTGTGATGTTTATTTTTTAAGTATGTACACAACTTTTACTTTATAAAATAACTATAAATATCTCATCCCCCACTTTGACAGCCTCTGATCTAAGACAATTAATTGACAGACTTATCCAGCGTGAGTCTTGATGAAGACAAACTGTGTTTGTGTTTTTCCAGTGGAGAGTCTGCAGATGTTGAGGCTTCCAGACTAAAGCAAGTGGCCAGGATTTTGAGAGGAGTGTCAGACAGTTCAAATGCCATCAACCCTGAAAGTTCTTTGTTAGACCAAACAGGCACTGAACCAACAGCTGGTGCTGTAAATACACAGTATGTTTCCACTAAACAAGGCCAAATACAGAGAAGCCTTGTCCAGCTTTCAGTAATCAGCCAGTGAGCTACATCATCTTCAATCTCCCAAAGTTCAGCCACGTCACCCCACTGCTGCGCTCTCTTCACTGGCTTCCTGTAGCTGCACGCATCAGATTTAAAACCCTTATGCTTGCCTACAAAGCCAAAAATGGACCAGCCCCTCCCTACTTGATGGCAATGGTCAAATCTCGAACTGTACCACGAGCCCTTCGAGCTTCGAGTACAGCTCGGCTTGACCCGCCATCCTTCAAAGTGCGCGGAAGGCAAACATCTAGACTGTTCTCTGTGCTGGCACCCAGGTGGTGGAACGAACTCCCACTGGCCGTCCGTACAGCAGAGTCTCTCGCTGTCTTCAAACGCAGACTGAAGACACACCTGTTTATTATTAAATGAGCACTAAATTAAGTAGTGATTGTAATGTATTGTACAGCACTTATGTATTGTATTGTATTGCACTGTTCTGTGTTTAACTCTGTCCCTTTTCACTAGGTGTCAATGACCTTCTGATTCTAGCAGTATCTAAGTTTAGGACTGTCTTTCTCTCTAACCTAGTGGTAGCTAGCAAAGATTCTTTCTCTGGATAGACAAAGCACTTTTTGTAAGTCGCTCTGGATAAGAGTGTCTGCTAAATGATGTAAATGTAAATGTGTTGGGGCAGGAAATTATTGAAATGGTCCAGAGCTGGTAGGTCTTGAGGACTGTTTTAGACTACCTAAACCTCTTTGTGGGGTAGAAGTATTTAATTTTATCCAGTTCAAGTCTAACTCAGCTTTCCCACAGTTCTTTAGGTAAAGTTTTTCCAGGAATAAATTGTATAAACTAAGTTCATTTAAATCTGTTGCACTATAACTGCAGATTCTTGGTTCAAAGAGTGAGGAGAATTGGCCACCGTCTTGGAAAAATGTGAAAACCTACTGATGCTAGCTGGATGTCTGAGAAACATCACACATGACAACAAAAAGGAAGACGCCATGGCAACACTTTATTTGGATGGTCCACTGTAGATGTTTTGCAGATGCTCAGTCTATCTTTAACTAACATTTAACTAAATATCTACGAAATGTAACTGAACTTGAAGTTGTGTGTGAAATGTTCTATGAGATCTAACCATAACCCTAAACCTGACACTAACCCTAACCACAAGGCAAAATCTACACCTACTCCTAGACCCAACCCTAACCTTAATGTTGTTGATAATTAACCAATATCACCAGAAAGTGTGGTAGATTATCTATAGGGGACCATCCAAATAAAGTATGACCGACATCATCAACTGGTATGTCCTTCAGAGAACAAGGACACAATTTGAAAATTATGATATTTTATTATTGTCCATAAAAATTCAGTTTATAATGTGAGTGTAATTTTTAATGTGTCATTTTTAAACCATCAGATTATGTTGTCCATATATATTCATAGATGGACTTCATTCCTTTAGCCTTCTGGATGCAATACAGTTACATCCAAGCAGCTTCAAACAAGTATTTACAGAGAGTGACCAGGAACCGACAGCTGAGACTGTTGAACAGCTGTTCAAAGAGGAACATTCTGAGCCTGGGAGCAACAGATATGAGAAAGAAAATGAAGCTGCCACTGGAGAGATGATCTCTTGGATGCTGAGAACATGTGATTTAAGTATATATTCTATCAGACAGCTGCCAGTTTGTTTAATGTACTTTCCTAGAGCAGAAATGCTTCATTTAAATCTAAAGCTTTTATAAAACTTGGTGAGAAATGGTTTATGACATCAGGACTAATAACTGCATTTTTAAATCTCCATATGCCTAGTTCACTAAACATGAATGTGTCTTGTTTTTCAGTAGGAAAGTCTGGCGTTACATTTGAAGACATCCTCATCTTTGCTTTAGGGAGTGACAGTGTGCCGGCACCCAGCTTTGATCCCCTCCCACAATGAAAATTCCCCCTGATTTGGAGCGGCTTTATTTGGATCTTTTAAATGACACTGATTTCACAGCCTTTTAATATAATTTAATGAAAGCCAGTAATTTTTAGATTTGCTAATATTGTTTTGATAGTTTGTATTACTTGAGTTCATGTTCAAGTTCAACAAGTCTTTTTTCTCCAATGAATACACTTGAAACTAAAACTGGGTTAAACAGTCTCTTCTTACAAAAGCTCAGTCTGTATAAATTTTAGTATTTGTGTGCAAACTATGGACAGGGTTATGCCTTTAGGCCGCAGTGACTGTGAACATACTTATTGATTTTAAGTTTATTATACTGTTATCTTATCAACCTCATTAAAGTAATTAAAATGTTACTATATACATGCTTACATGTAGAATATGAAGCCAGCTTCTTTTTCTTAATTCATACAACTTATTTTAAGTGCACGTTATTCAGACCTCGCGCAGCTTCAGGAAAGATGTCAAGTCCAAAACAGTTGCTTTCCCTTAATGGGTTAATTGTCTGTCTGAGAGCTTCATTATAGTGTTGTGAAGAGGTAGTGGAGCTTCAGGAACTTCCACAGTCACATCCAGCTTGCAGTATGGAACAGGTCCTTCCCAATCAACCCCATATTCTTGTATCCACAACTGCTGTGGGACCTTATTCGCTCAGTTGAAAGGGGATAACTGTCCCATCCTCTGGAAAACATCTGCAGGTGCTGACTGACCCGTGGAATCATGACATAATGTAAGCAGATAAGGTGATGTTCGTTGTCAAGATCCAGGGCACGCACTTCTTGCAGATACTGCAATGCTGCAAAATAATTACGTGAGACAGTGCACCAAAGGTCGAGCCAAAGGCGTTCTATCTGGTGATTATGTACGCCTCTTCCTGCAATATGGCTGCCTTTGTCTGTAAAATAAATAAATATGAAATTATATAGAAATGCTAGCTGGAAAAAAACAGTTCTTGCAATTCTTAATGTTCTTCTTTCGTTTTTCACTTGATGAGTTACTTGGGTTACAGCAGGTGTCCAACAGGACTGGATCTAAGAAACTGCATGCTGTAATATAAAAAGGAGACAAAAAGATTTTGCAAAAGGGTCAGGCTGAAGATCAACCACAAATCCTGACCTCACTCCTACACTGTGAAGAAAACCAGATATATTTTTGTAGCCTTAACCTGGAAATTCTGTGATCTGTCTGTTAAGTGTTTTTGCAGTTCATCCTCAGATATTGTGCTGTAAGTACATCAGATTGAAAGTCCATATTCTGCCATTCTTCTATGGACTGTTCTTGTACTTTCACATAACGTCTGTGATGTCTGTGGAACAGTGAATTCATACTCTGAGAGAAAACTGCTCCTGGGTTATGTTGATTTTGGGGCCACCTCTGCTATCACTGCAGACAGCACCTGCCTCAAATCCATTAAATCTACTGTTGGGTTGAATATCCAACAGCTGCAGTGCCCTGGCTAAGTTCTTCAAAACTGTATCTGCTTCTTGTGACTAAACTGTTAAGTATCTGCTCATTTCTGAAGTGAATAAAATCACTGTCAAGTTGTTGAAAATTTGGATTCTGGAGACGAAGGGCTGTGTTTCCCAGAACATCTGCAACACTTTCCAGGAAATTTTGTGGAGCACTTGAGAATCTGTAACAGTGCAGAAGAGTTCACTCAAAAATAAAATGAATGTCTCTTTGTAATTTGCTGTGATAAGTAATTTCCCCACATGGCCTGGCATTGAACACTACATATGGCAGAACAAAACCTTGTATCTCCAAAATGGTAACTTTACAGGAGAAGTAAAAATCTACTTTACTTTTAATGTAAGTCAATGGAACCAGACTTCAGAAGTCATTTTGTGACGTTTCTTTTGGTCCATTCTTCATTAAATTTACACACAATGTTAAGAGCAACAGGTATTTTCAAATTATGACAACAAAAATGGAGATACGAGGTTTTCTTCTGACAGCAGTGATATCCAAGTGAAACCTAATTTCTGCCACTGGAAAACATTCAAAGGAGGAATTCTTAGATAATTTGAATACGGTCAATATCAGCAATTTCTAGTTTCACCAAAAGTTGAAGTGCTACACCTACCAAATGGTTACATTGTTGAATATTGTCATGTTGTTTATTGCTCAGTATATTTGTATATAATCACTGGAGTCTATTAATGTATTTTCTTTGCATTTATGTGGACTGTTCAGGGTGTTTCTTGCCTTCCGCCCAGTGACTGCTAGGATAGGCTCCAGCACCCTCCCTGACCCAGAAGGATAACTAGATAATGTGTGCGTGTATGTGTGTGTATGTGTGTGTGTGTGTGCGTACTTTTGGGTGTGAGGTAATGAAAAAGCATCACTGATCACTGTTAAAG